CTCCCCCCCACTCTCCCCCCACTCACCTCTCCCCCCCCACTCACCCCCACTCACCCCCACTCACCTCCCCACCACCATCACAAGGGGTCAAACAAAAACAAACAGAGGAATGTTTTGGGTGCCCGTATTGTTGAAACGGCTGGACGCCGTATGGACCTGAAAGACTCAATTTTCCCTGCACAAGAATGCGGGCTAAACCGTACGTGTTGACACGGTATGCGACCACCAGGTATCTTATCTTCACGTAATCTACATAGCGTCCTAACCGAGGCGCTTTACAGAGGATCAAGGACGGTACGACACCGTGCTTGAATGTAGCGAGGTGGATGAATTAGACGAGGGAAAGCAATGTGGGGGGGGGCGAATCTGTGATTAGGTGAAAGCGAATTTGATGACTGGAAATGATGATGAACGCCAGGTATTCGCATTTGATTCCCTCCCAAATGTGGTAAAGCATTTTAAGAGTTTGCTTTAGTTTAGATTAGGTGGTCACAGCAAAGCCCCGTGGTGGCTAGGAGATGTTAACTACCTCGCCTATAATACAGGTTTTGTGGGTTCGATCCCGACCCTGACGATGCCTGTTGTATATTTGGAGTTTGCATGTTTGGAGTTTGCATATTAACTAGCTCGCTTGGTATGCTGGAGTTCGTGCGTTCGATCCCGACCCTGATCCCTGCTGTCAATTTGCAGTTTGCGTGCGTCTCTCTCTCCCCGTGGTCGTGTGGAATTTTCTCCGGGTCCTCCGTTTTTTCCCCTCACATTTAGAATCGGCATGCTATTTAGAGTATTTGGCTGCTAACACAAAGACCAGATGATGCTATGCCACTTCGTTGGCCAACCGTGCTAATCTGTGGGTCTCTGTGGGTCTCTATAGGTCTGTGTGTCTGTGAGTCTGTGTATGTACGATGAACTTCTTTTGCACCGTACGTAGCAAACCGTTCTAATCTGTGGGTCTCCTCTGTGAGTCTCTATGGGTGTCTCTGTGGGTCTCTATGGGTCTGGGTGTCTGTGCGTCTCTGTGTACGTGCGTACCTTGAATTTCTTTCGCACCGTACCTAGCCAACCGTACTAATCTGTGGCTCTCCTCTGTGAGTTTCTAATGGTGTCTCTGTGGGTCTCTTGGTGTCTATGGGTCTGGGTCTCTGTGGGTCTCTGTGGGTGTCTCTTGGACCGGACTCGGCTTTCCACGGGCTGTCGTCCACGGACTTGAAATCCATGGATTTGAAATCCACGGATTCAGACTCGTAGACTTTTACGGGCCGTCGTAGACTCGAGTCGACGACCGCTGGACAAAATTCGAAACGACAAAAAAATAACGATAAATAAAAACAAAAAATTCGCCCGGCTTTTAACTCGCAAACCGCAACCGCTTGCTGCTGCTGCTACTGCGCGCGATATTTGCCAGGAAGCGGCCGAGGAGACAAAGTCGAGGCTGGGCGCCAGCTACGGCGAACTCCTGCGCCTCGTCGCCGAGGACCGCGAGTCGGCGCTGAGGGTCGTGGACGCGGAGCGAGACGCCAAACTCTCGGCGATCCGGCGCGAGCTCGGCAGGTGCGCCGAGGTGCTGGGCGGCGCGCAGGATGCGCTGAGAGCCGTCGACGATCTCGAGGTGACGGAGGACCACGTGGAGTTCATCCAGGTTTGTCGTGGGACATCTCCTGGAACGTAAATGCGTTGGGGGGGCAGGGGGGTGGGGGAGCGACGCGGCATGTCGGTCGCCTCCGCTTAGCTTTGCGTGGAGGTTCGCGTTACGGATTCTTGTGGGATGCTGGTTTCTTGCAGCGGAGGATAATAACCGAATCGTGGGTTATTCGCTCGCTCCTCCAAGAGGGAGTTTGGTCATCGTCTTGAAGGCGGTCCACCTCGGCCCCTACTGTCCACCCCGACACCTACAACTATCCATACTGTCCCCGTCTACAACTACCCCGACATTCTGGCGAATTGCCCGATGATGCTGGATGCAATTACCAGCGAAACGTCGTACAACTCAAATTGTAAATGTTGTGGTTTGACGCTTCAGCACACCGGTGGGCTAAAGCAGTGAACTATTTGTCTTTTGTCAACGTGACACTTTTTTACTGATTGGCCGTGTCGGGTGGTGGAGGGTTACGACACATTTATAAATAACGCGATCTCAACCCAAAAACGTTGATTATGAACTACACAACTACCCCAACTGTCGCCATCCCTACTGTCCCCACCCATACCCTTGGAGTTTCATTTGACAAAATCGTGTTCCGTATTATTCAACAACGTGAGTCTAAGTGTGTGCACCTGTGTGTGCCTGCGTGTGTTCCAGAAATGCATGACAAACTGGGACAGGTAAGTGCTCGATTTGAAGCTTTCGTGACTGCAAGGATTCATATTCTTAGGTTTTTTCGGTAAAGTCACGTAGGTAAAACATCAAAATTAATAAAAATAAAATAAAGATCACGACGTTTCGGAGGCAACACAAGGTGGGACCGTCACAGCCAGATTAGCTGCAGCTAATCTGGCTGTGACGGTCCCACCTGATGACGGAGACTTGTGTTGCCTCCGAAACGTCGTGATCTTTATTTTATTTTATTTTTATTAATTTTGATGTTTTACCTACGTGACTTTACCGATAAAACCTAAGAACAGGTAAGTCCTCTGCATCTTTATTATTTTCTTTGCTTCTGGATGACATGTATACACCGGCAAAGTTAACAGCGTGTTATATATATATATGTGTGTGTGTGCGTGCATATGGAAGTCATGAAGCCATTCGGTCGCCTCTATGGAGGCTTGGTGGTGCAGTGTTGGATCTGATCTAGATTTATCTAGCAGCGCCTTATTCAAAGGCGCTCTGCAGAAACTACACAATTCCGCATACGATGATAGTGATCGAGTATAAGAGTGGGGTTGTTATTCAAAACAAAAAACTAAACAATTTATTTTACCAGGTAAGGCCCACTGAGCTATAGAGCTTTGTTTCAAGAAGCCACCTGGCTACCACAAATAATAGCTCAACGTAAGTTGGCTTACGACGTTTCGGGCGCAACACTAACTACTTAAGCAGTTGTTATTTCGCTGTGTCTGTCCCCACCTGAAGACGGACGCTTGTGTTGCGCCCGAAACGTCGTCATTTTATTGAGTTGTTTTCATTTTAATTTATTTAGTTTTTTTTACCTACGTGACTTTACCGAAAAAAACTAAACGTATATGGATCCTTGCAGTCACGAAAACTTCAAATCTAGAAGTTGGCTTATCGTCATCACATGGAAATGTATAGCAGCAGCCAATATACTCTCTAAACCGCACGTCGATTCTAAAATGTGGATGGATAAACCGGAGGACCGGGAGTAAAAATCCACGCGACCACGGGGAGAACATTCTTCTTCTTTCATATGTAAGCAACAGTTTGTATAGATGTTATAGTTGAGTGTTAAAATCCTTCAACAAATCCGAGGTGGCAGTAGATGCTGTATGGATTCTAAATGTGAAGCTTTCGTGACTGCAAGGATTCATACTCCTAGGTTTTTTCGGTAAAGTCACGTAGGTAAAAAAATAATAATACTAAAATATAATAAAATAATAATACATGCAAATAACTAAATTTACTTGATACAGTAAATTTGGCTGTGACGGTCCCATCTGAAGATGGAGACTTGTGTTGCCTCCGAAACGTCGTGATTTAATTTAGTTATTTTCATTTATTAATATTTTATTATTTTTTTGCCTACGTGACTTTACCGAAAAAACCTAGGAGTATGCTATATGGATTTCGGCAATAACGCAGGGGATAATATTAAAATTGGCGGTTGTTAGCTACGGTGACAGCACAGCTGGGTTTGTGTGATCCGTGGTCTGGCGCATTTCATCCTCACGACCACCATCCTGATCATTACCATCATCACGATCGTCATCACCACCATTTTCATCACCACCATCGTAATCATCATCATCATCATCAAACTCATTTCTTTAGAGCTGTTTTGTTTTTATTTTGTCCTTCCCCCGCCACCTTCGATATTAGCATGGTTGGCTACAGACGGTGCAAAATAAGTTCAACATACATATTGACATACAGACATACATACATACACCTTGCCATGGCCCCTTGTCCCCCACTCACGGTCATCTCAGCCCATCGCTTGTGCGGCGCTACCCTCGCGGTCGCCAGCTTTGTGAGCCTGGGAAGCGTGCAGATGGAGCCGGCGCACGACCCGCCCTTGGAGTTCGTTGACGCGGCCGCGCTGAAGGAACGCATCGATGAATTCCTGGCATCCTTCAGAGCCTCCCAGCGCGAGGCGTCACCGGGAGATCCGGCACGTCACTTTGGGGAGCTTGGATATCGCGAGTTTATCAGGAGATGTACGTAGCACTCGACGCGGGAGATTGTTTTGCTGTAATTAACTCAACTGTTTATTACTCGTAGGAACCGCCAGGATACACCAGCCCACAGGGGATTATTGTGTCCGTCATGCAGGGAGGGGCTGGGTGGAGAGGGAGGGGCTGGGTGGAGAGGGAGGGGCTGGGTGGAGAGGGAGGGGCTGGGAGGGGTGGGGCTTGGTGTTGAGGGGCTGGTCACCCCGTGGTGCCCTTATAAAACTCAACGTTTAACCTACTCACGCCGGCTTGTGCCCACCCTCACAGTCGGCCATATTTGCGGAATACACCACACCGCCGTTGACCCTGGCCATTGACCGAGCAACCCAACGTTCCTACCAGCTCCCTCCGCAGGAATGTGTTTTATTATACCAGGCAAGGCCACACGGAGCTGCTGTGTAGCGCTTTTTCAGAAGTCACCTGGCTATCACAAACGATGGCTCAACGAAGTGGCTTTTCATAATCATCATCATCATCGGCTGGAAATTAATAGTAGCTGCCAAATACTCTGAACGCGTGACGTTGATTCTAAATGTGGAGGGGGAAACCGAAGGACCCGGAGAAAATGCCACGTGACCAAAATGGGGAGGGAGTCGCAAACTACAAATATACAGCAGGGGGTCGAGATCAAACCCACGACCTCCTGCATGCCAGACGAGGTAGTTAACACGCAGACTCCAAATATACGGCAGGGATCATCAGGGTCGGGATCGAACCCACGACCTCCTGCATGCCAGGCAAGGTGGTTAACGTGAAAACTCCAAATACACAGCAGGCATCGTCGGGGTAGGGATTGATCCCACGACCTCGTGCATACCAGGCGAGGTAGTTAACATCTCTTAGCCATCATTGAAACCTCATTTGCCAGTAAAAAATATGATAATTGGTTTTTTACCCTTATATCTGTCAACAAAATTGACACCTTTTTTACAAGGAGTCATGTTTGCATAGACCACAATACCTGCAGCCATAATGCAAACCAAAAACATAATTCTGATAATATATACATTGTCCTTGAAGTTTATTGGTCCACACCCGAGACAGCTTTCCTAAGAGCCTAGTTAGAGCCATTAGAGCCTAGTTGTGTGGACCAATCAACTTCAAAGACAGTGCATATATTATCAGAGTTATGTTTTTTGTTTGCATTATGGCTGCAGGTATTGTGGTCTATGCAAACATGACTCATTGTAAAAAAGGTGTCAGTTTTGTTGCCAGATATAAGGGTAAAAAAACAATTATCATCTCTTAGCCATCTTAACGCCTGGGGGGGTGGTGGTGCTATCTTGTGGCCGCGCACGCAGATGGCTACTCGCCGACTTTGAACGCGGGCTCGGCCCACCCGGAGCTGCGCTTCTCCCCCGACCTCCGGAGGGTGACGCTGGCGCGGTGCTCGCAGACCCTGCCCGACGCCCCCGAGCGATTCGACGTGGCCAAGCAGGCCCTCTGCTCCGAGCCCCTGTCCTCGGGCCGCCGCTACTGGGAGGTGGACGTCGCCGGCTGCGGCTGGTACCGCGTGGGCGCCGCGTACGCGACCATCGCGCGCAGGGGAGCGGGCGCCGAATGCCGCCTCGGGGAGAACGACGAGTCTTGGTGCCTCGTGCGGGACAGCAAGAGCCTCGTGGCGTGGCACGGCGGGTCGAAGGTGCCGCTCAAGCTGCCTGGGGGCACTCATCTTCAGAGGGTCGGCATCTATCTGGACTGGGACGCGGGGCTGCTGGCGTTCTGCGGCGTCTCGGCGGGCGGCGGTGGTGGTGGCAACGGTGGTGGCGGTGGTGGTGGCGGCAGTGGCAGCGGTGGCGGCGGTGGTGGCAGTGGTGGTGGCAACGTTGGTGGTGGTGGCGGCGGTGGTGGCAGCGGTGGTAGCAGCGGTGGTGGCAGCAGTGGCAGCGCTGTCACGCTGCACTCGTTTCACCACGAGTTCACGCAACCGCTACTGCCCGCTCTGGCCGTGGGTTGCGTCACCCAGAGCCTGAGGATCGTGGAGCTCGGGGGAAAGGAAGACGACGATGAGGAGGAGGAGGGGGAAGAGGAGGAGCTTCCGCCATGCTCGTGAACAACCTTGGGACTTAATTTGGAGCTTTCGTGACTGCAGGAATTACTCTTTGGTTCTTTCGGTAAAGTGACGTGTAGAGATAAACTAATAAATTAAATAATAGCATACTACGACGTTTCGATTGCGACACAAGCAATCGTCATCAGGTATAAAAGAAAACGTCGTAGTAGTATGATATTATTTAATTTATTATTTTATCTTTATACGTCACTTTACCGAAAGAACCAAAGAGTCACCGTTGGGACTGCGGTTGGGCGGAGCCCCTAACCGAGACCACGCCCCCTAACCGAGGCCACGCCCCTAACCGAGGCCACGTCCCTAACAGAGGCCACGCCCCTAATCGAGGCCACGCCCCTAATCGAGGCCACGCCCCTAACCGAGGCCACGCCCCTAACCGAGGCCACGCCCCTAACCGAGGCCACGCCCCTGACCGAGGCCACGCCCCTGACCGAGACCACGCCCCTAATCGAGGCCACGCCCCTAACCGAGGCCACGCCCCTAACCGAGGCCACGCCCCTAACTGAGGCCACGCCCCTAACCGAGGCCACGCCCCTAATCGAGACCACGCCCCTAACCGAGGCCACGCCCCTAACCGAGGCCACGCCCCTAACCGAGGCCACGCCCCTAACCGAGGCCACGCCCCTAACCGAGACCACGCCCCTAACAGACCACAACCCCCACACACCTTCTTGGTTCTTTCGGTAAATATTCTTAGGTTTTTTTTTTTTCGGTAAAGTCACGTAGGTAAAACATCAAAATTAATGAAAATAAAATAAAACAAAAATCACAAAAATAAAATAAAACAAAAATCACAAAAATCACGACGTTTCTCCGTCATCAGGTGGGACCGATGACGGAGACTTGTGTTGCCTCCGAAACGTCGTGATTTTTGTTTTATTTTATTTTCATTAATTTTGATGTTTTACCTACGTGACTTTACCGAAAAAAAAAAACCTAAGAATATGAATCCTTGCAGTCACGAAAGCTTCAAATCTAGAATCTTTCGGTAAAGTCACCACGTAGAAGGGAAGTAATAAAATAATAAAAATAAAACATAATAAAATAATTCTCACGACGATTCGGCCACAACGCAAGCAGCCGTCTTCAGGTGGAGACGGCTGCTTGCGTTGTAGCCGAAACGTCGTGAGAATTATTTTATTATGTTTTATTTTTATTATTTTATTACTTCCCTTCTACGTGGACTTTACCGAAAGAACCAAGAAGATGAATCCCTGCAGTCACGAAAGCTTTAAGTCGAAACCCCCACACCGTGTCGTGCGTTGGTGGAGCTCGACACGAAATTTGGCACAGCTCCCCGGGCCTCTTGGTCCATTGCCAAATTCTCTTCCCCTTCTCTCCCCTCCACTTCTTCACCCTCCCCGACACCCCCTACGCGCACCCCTCGATTGTGACCAGCTCCCCCCCCCCCTATCCCGTTTGCACCCCTCCGAGTCACCCATTCCACATGCGCTTGTCATCTTAATACAATTCTTCGTCCGTACCGTTGTTTAAATGATGTTAAGCGCCTCGGTCGAAGGCGTTCTACGACACACAAATTAAGTCGTGAACACCTCGTGAGAGTACCAACACGCAGATGGGTGTAAAGTTAAGAGATTATTTAAGGCACGCTCTACAAAAGGCATCTTTGGACGAAACGAGAATCTATTGGCCTAACCGTGTACGCCACCAAGCGGGAGCTTTGAAGAATAAAACGCAAAACGGGAAACAAAAAAAAATACATTTCATAAGTTAACCCAATTAACGAATCGTAATATTGACATGTCAATAAAGATCGCAGCTGTTCAAACGGTTTACATTTGTACTTGATTCGAGAGTGTGGCAACGCATTAGGGGAGGAGGCCTTCATCCAGCAGTGGATTGAGCCTGGCTGATGATGATTGTGATGATGATGGTGGTGATGGTGGTGATGATGGTGGTGGTGATGGTGATGATAATGATGGTGATGATGGTGGTGGTGATGATAATGATGGTGATGATGGTGGTGATGATGGTGATGATAATGATGGTGATGATGATAGTGATGATGTTGAAGGTGATGATGAGTGGGTCAACAGCAAGCTACGCAACAGCAACAGTGGTATAGTGGTGAGCATAGCTGCCTTCCAAGCAGTTGACCCGGGATCGATTCCCGGCTGTCGCAAGCAAAAGTTGTATATATTTTTTTGCATTTAAATAGAGGCGCCTCATCCATAACGAGTGAACAAACACCGACCGCGTGCAACACAAAGCGATGATTCATTAAAATTAGACAAATTATTGTGGCGATGCTGCTGTATTCTTAGTTTTTTTCGGTAAAGTCACGTATGTAAAAAAGTTAAAATTAAAAGTTAATAAAAGTAAAATTACAATAAAAATCACGACGTTTCTGAGGCCTCCGAAACGTCGTGATTTTTATTTTCTTTAAATTTTTTATTTTACTTTTATTAATTTAAAATTTTTACATACGTGAATTTTAATTAAACGTCGCTTTGTGTTGCACGCGGTCGGTGTTTGTTCACTCGCTATGGATGAGGCGCCTCTATTTAAATGCAAAAAAATATATAAAACTTTAGCTTGCGACAGCCGGGAATCGAACCCGGGTCAACTGCTTGGAAGGCAGCTATGCTCACCACTATACCACTGTCGCTGTTGCTGTTGAGCAGCTTGCTGTTGACAAAGTCATCATCATCATCACTATCGTCAGCCAGACTCAATCCACTGCTGGATTTTCTCCACGAGTGGGTGATGCACAAAGCCCTTTCGAGACTCGCCGAGCGACTCGAGGTTGCGGCTGCTGATGATGGTGATGATGATGATGGTGGTGGTGGTGATGTTGGTGATGATCGTGATGATGATAGTTGTGATGATGGTGGTGGTGGTGGTGATGATGATAATGATGGTGGTGGTGATGATGATCCTGGCTGATGGTGGTGGTGGTGGTGATGCTGGTGGTGATGGTGATCGTGATGATGATGATGGTGGTGGTAGTGGTGGTGATGCTGGTGGTGATGATCGTGATGGTGGTGGTGATGATGATCCTGGCTGATGATGATGGTGGTGGTGGTGATGATGGCGGTGATGATCGTGATGATGATGATGATCGTGATGGTGATCGTGATGGTGATGATGATGGTGGTGGTGATGATGGTGGTGATGGTGATAATGATAATGATGGTGGTGGTGATGATGATCCTGGCTGATGATGATGGTGGTGATGCTGGTGGTGATGATCAAGATGATGATGATAGTGATGATGATCGTGATGACGATCGTGATGGTGATGATGATGGTGGTGGTGATGATGATCCTGGCTGATGATGATTGTGGTGATGGTGATGCTGGTGGTGATGATCGTGATGGTGATAGTTGTGATGGTGGTGGTGGTGGTGATGATAATGATGGTGGTGGTGATGATGATCCTGGCTGATGATGATGGTGGTGGTGGTGATGATGGCGGTGATGATCGTGATGATGATGATGATCGTGATGGTGATCGTGATGGTGATGATGATGGTGGTGGTGATGATGGTGGTGATGGTGATAATGATAATGATGGTGGTGGTGATGATGATCCTGGCTGATGATGATGGTGGTGATGCTGGTGGTGATGATCAAGATGATGATGATAGTGATGATGATCGTGATGACGATCGTGATGGTGATGATGATGGTGGTGGTGATGATGATCCTGGCTGATGATGATTGTGGTGATGGTGATGCTGGTGGTGATGATCGTGATGATGATGATGGTGATGATGATCGTGATGGTGATGATGATGGTGGTGGTGATGATTTTCCGCGGTTGTCTGGCGAGGCTCCGTCTCGTGTCCGCTCCTCCACAGCCCCTGTCGTGCGGGAGGGGACCTCGTGGGGCTGAACTCTCGCCTGGCAGAGGGATGGCAGAGGCCTTCATCCAGCAGTGGATTGAGCATGGATGATGGTGATGATTATGATGTGGCTGATGATGATGTTAATGTTACTCTTAGTTCTTTCGGTAAAGTCACGTAGGTAAAAAATGAAATAAAAATTAATAAAAAAATAACGTGACTTTACCGAAAAAACTAAGAGTATGAATCCTTGCAGTCACGAACGCTTCAAATCTAGATGTTAATGATGTTGATGATGTTAATGATGTTGATGATGATGACTGTGTCAACAGAAACCTGATCAACAGCGACAGTGGTATAGTGGTGAGCATAGCTGCCTTCCAAGCAGTTGACCCGGGTTCGATTCCCGGCTGTCGCAGTGGTTATTGATTATTTTGATTTGTCCGAGTTGAACTCGGAGGAGGAGAGAGAGGGAGAGGTCACAGGAGCTGCTGTGGGTAGCCTCGTGCAAGGCGGCACAGCAAGTAGGACTCCCCTATCCTGCATCGTCATCAGCAGCCGCGATCAATCCACTGCTGAATGAAGGCCTGGTGAGGTCACTTCACGAGTTGAGTTTGTGTCGGTTGTGCACGTGGACCAATGCAGCAGCAGCATCACTTCTAGATTTGAAGCTTTCGTGACTGCAAGGATTCATATTCTTAGGTTTTTTCGGTAAAGTCACGTAGGTAAAAAATTAAAATTAATAAAAGTAAAATAGAAATGAAATAAAAATAAAATTCACGTTTCGGAGGCCTCCGAAACGTCGTGATTTTTATTTTACTTTTATTTTAATTTTTTACCTACGTGACTTTACCGAAAAAACCTAAGAATACAGCAGCATCGCCACAATAATTTGTCTAATTTTAATGAATCATCGCTTTGTGTTGCACGCGGTCGGTGTTTGTTCACTCGTTGTGGATGAGGCGCCTCTATTTAAATACAAAAATATATTAAACTTTAGCTTGCAACAGCAGCTCTTGTGACTCCCACTGTGACCTCTCCCTCTCAGTTCAACTCGGACAAATCAAAATAATCAATGACCACTGCGACAGCCGGGAATCGAACCCGGGTCAACTGCTTGGAAGGCAGCTATGCTCACCACTATACCACTGTCGCTGTTGCTGTTAAGCAGCTTGCTGTTGACAAAGTCATCATCATCAGCCACTGCTGGATGAAGGCCACCCTCTCGATCCTGGAGGAGGCTCGTGAAAGCCACTACTGAGCAGTTGGAGGCAGTCGCCCACCAAAAACTGAGGGCAGAGGAGCGACGCTCACAACAAGCGTAGCGCCAGACGGCTAAAATGCAGGAAGTTTGCACAATACGGAGTACAGCTGGTGCATCTACCAGTCATATCAGTCAGCCAACCCATCGCAACTGGGTCTGGCCCGTGACCTCCTGTCAGCGAGCCTTCGACACTTCACCGCACAAGGCACTCATTTGAGGCTGAGTCAACCTAGGCGAAGGCCCAGGACTGGTTCAGATGAATCGCCACCGGTGTTGGCCGTGAGCAGAAATCGAACTCGGGTTGGTGGGCTCATAACGCAGTGCGCGAACCACTTTGCTACTGCTCCCGCTCCGCGGGACGACACACACGTGTGGATGTGTGGTGAAGAACTTTTATTTGTCGGGTGGAGGAGGGGCGTACGACACAGCACGTTTCACTTCGCGCGGCAGAAAACATCAAATCCGAATTTGTATCACCGACCGTGACCCCTACCCCTCCTTACCCCATACCCACCCCTCGACCTCCAATAGAGCACAACGTGTAGTGTATAGTAGTGTAGTGTATAGTAGTGTAGTGTATAGTAGTGTAGTGTATAGTAGTATAGTGTGTAACAGTGTAGTGTATTGTGTATAGTCGTGTAGTGTATAGTCGTGTATAGTGTAGTGTATAGTAGTGTAGTGTATAGTAGTGTAGTGTATAGTAGTGTAGTGTATGGTAGTGGTTTATAGTTGAGTGTATAGTAGTGCAGTGTATAGTAGTATAGTGTGTAATAGTGTAGTGTATTGTGTATAGTCGTGTAGTGTATAGTCGTGTATAGTGTAGTGTATAGTAGTGTAGTGTATAGTAGTGTAGTGTATAGTAGTGTGTAGTGTATAGGAGTGTAGTGCCTCCATAAAGCTCAATGTGTTCGCTTATCGACCATTCCCCTGTTAACGACGGGCTGTTGTAGGTACAGTAAATATGAATTCATGCATATTCTTTGGATCTTTCGGTAAAGTTACGTAGATTGAAAATAATAAAGTGAATAAAAATTAATAAAATAAAAACCACGACGTTTCGATCGCAACACAAGCGGTCGTCATCCTGATATTTTATTTGTATTATTTTATTCACTTTATTATTATTTTCATGAATTCCTGCAGGCACGTAGGTTTAAGGTCAGAATGAATTAACGCATTTGTAGTGTAGCAGCGCCGACTGGCGGCCAGAAGTAGCAATTGTGGGTGTATCCACCCAAGGGGTGACGGTATTCACGGGAAAGTCCACAAGGGGGAGAACCAGAGACAGCTTTCTTTGGAGCCTCGTCTCAAAAGGTGTTAGACCAAAGGACGCCAAAAGGCGTACAGAACAAACACAATGCCACTATCAGAGTAATGAGAGCTCGGGGTGAGCAGCTACATCATGGGACCTCCTTTGCCAGTAGCAAAATATGAGAATAGGTTTTCTCATTTTTTCTGGCAACAAAACAGGTGTTAAGATGTTAAAACACCAAACTGAAACCTTTTTACAAGGAATCATGTCTGCATTAACTGGGGCAAGGGTCATGGAAGGGCACCATATTTGAGCTCCCAGAACCAGCTAGAAGGTTCGAGAAGGTGGGCGTGGCCAGGGCGGGGCCGGGCCCCGCTGGAAGCATAAAAGGAGGCGAGAGAGGGAGCTCGGGGCTGTCCGTGGGAATGGGGGTCGTCCCGCCGTGGAAGTCGTCCTCGTCGCCGTCGTCGCTGCCGTCCTCGTCATCGCCCGACGTCGCCGCCGCTGGACAGTCAGCCAGCTATCCAGTGAGTTAGCGCCGTCGGGGTTGACGGGTCAGCGTTACGTGATGTGCTCAGTGAGTCGTCTAGTGTGAGTACGAGTAATATAAATAAAGAAGGTGCCGCTACAGTTATTTTCTCCGGAGTCCTACATTACACATTGATTAACCACGTTTCTTTTAATAGTATGCGTTTATAATGTTGTTAGTATCGTTATGTATTAATATCCATTGTTTAAATGTTACAAAGCACTTTTTTTTTGGTGAAAAGGGTAACTTTCGATGTTATCTGAACGAATTAAACCTTTAACTGTCTATTTCTTATACTTGCTTTACGACCAAATAACTGAACGACCGGTATTCATGTCACCATTTACATACCTGTCAACCCCTTATCAGTGCCCCACCTTATTACAGACCAATTCAGACCTTATTTGTCATCCCGTGCCCCTTATGAATCTCAACGTTCATCCTACAAAGTCCCATCACAAGGAGAGAAACAAAAATATGTATGACGTTCCCATACGCTACAGAGGATACAATTGTACAAGGGACTTGCTACAAGTGTAAAGAAGCTCCTTGGAGACGTCCATTTAAAAAAAGGTGAATTCTTTATGTCTTAAAGAATAACGTCTATACAGCTTCGCAAAGAGTCAACCCCCAAGTCTTTCACTTCGTCACGCCCAGACTACCAGTCCTCACCCCCCTTCTATGCCCTCTCGGTCTGGACACTTTTGGCACGTGTCTCTTCTCAATGATGATACGTACACTTTGCCTCGTTATCTTAACAGTTAATCTACAAAGGTAGGACGACACTGGCCATCTTGGCTGTATCTAGCCGCTTTAAAAACATTGCCCACCGATGCCGAACGTCTTTTGGCACCGTTCGTGAACAGCCGTGCTTAGTCGGAGGTGCGGTGGGGGATGGGGAGAACAACAAACTAAACACAACAACAACAACAAGAAGCAGTTCTAAAGAAATTAGTTCGTCATTCGAGACGATTTTAAAAGTGCAGCATTGCTTACCAAGTGGCTTCCTTAACGTCGTTGTCGTGATGTGCGTTTGTCTTCCCATGTGGTCAGAAATCGCAAATGGGGACTAAGACTTCGTCAGAGGAAGAAAATTCCAAAGATTCATCGCAGCGCAAGGCCGAGTACAAGGGCAAGGACGTCACGGCTATTCAGGCCGGGATGCCCACAAGTGTCACGGATGCCATAGAGATCACCAACCTATCGACGTACACACTCGAAAATCCGACGTGAGTACGGGCATTGTGTGTATGTATGTTGAACTTCTTTCACACCGTACGTAGCCAACCATGCTAATCTGTGGATTTCTATGGGTGTCTCTGTAAGTCTCTGTGGGTGTCTGTGGGTCTCTGTGCGTCTGGGTGTCTGTGGGTCTATGTGCATGTATGTTGAACTTCTTTCGCACCGTACGTAGCCAACCGTTGTAATATGAGGTGCAGGGGAAGGACAATAAACTAAACACGAAAATCGTTCACGTGGATCTGGACAATGCGCGTGCTGTCTGTGTCTTTGTCTCACACACAAGTCAAAGGTCCCCCGTGTCACCTTAACGGACTGTTGGGGCAAGTGTTAGCCAGCACCTTTGAGGGCTTGACTAGGATGTCACAAGTGTCTGATGACTTGACTGGCATGTCACAAGTGTCTGATGACTTAACTGGCAAGTCACAGGTGTCTGATGACTTGACTGGGACGTCACAAGTGTCTGATGGCTTGACTGGCAATTCACAAGTGATGACCTACACCGCATTGAGGAAGTTGGTCTACAAGGGGAATCCCAACAAAGTTTCACCTTTCAAATGCCATTGATGACAATTGTACAGTACACAAAATTAAAAAACTAGTAACTTGCACTAAAGACGAATTACCTAAATTATCAACAGAAGGTGTATATCGGATTAATTGTTTATGTGGCAGATGCTATATTGGACAGACGGGGCGTAACATTAGTGTAAGACTAAAAGAACACCAGAAAAATATTAAACTATCGCAAACACAACTGTCGGCAGTGGCAGAACATGCATGCCAACAGGGACACTCAATTGATTTTGATAACGTTGAAGTGTTGTGTAAAACTAATTACTACTGGCGAAGACTAATTAGAGAATCAATTGAAATTGAGAGAAACAGAAATAACTTTAATCGCTCAAACAGCTACAGGCTCAGTGCGGTCTGGAAGCGTATTATCAAATAAGATACATTACAATTCCTTATAAGGGAAACAAACACTAACTGATTACTATCGTAGCATAATAATAATAAAACACATTACAACTGATTACTAATCTACAACTCGCATCGTAACAACTGCCTGATTACTAATCTAGTATATAATTACAATAACCCCCCCCCTCCGCCTCAAATCGTTGCACCTGATGAGTTGATGAGTTAATGATGACGTCACCCTGCTGCTGCTTTATTTAAGACCGGGAGCCAGAGCAGAGCCTCACCATTCTGGCGAATTGCCCGATGATGCTGGATGCAATTACCAGCGAAACGTCGCACTACTCAAAAAATTTAAATGTTGTGGTTTCACGCTTCAACACACCGGTGGGCTAAAGCAGTGAACTATTTGTCTTTTGTCAACGTGACACTTTTTTGCTGATTGGCCGTGTCGGGTGGTGGAGGGTTACGACACATTTATAAACGCGATCTAAACCCAAAACGTTGATTATAAATAATATTCGTCGCGAAAGCCTACGTGTTAAACATGTTTTCTTTGTTGTAACGTCCTGACCCCGTGCCCCCAGCTCAGAGGTCGCAAACGGGTTTTGATTCCTTACCCGTACCCGTACCCGGCCGCACCAGGGTTGCAAATGGGTACCCGTACCCGTACCCGGCCGGGTACGGGTAGCCGTTCTCTACCCGTACCCGTACCCTACCCGTACCCGTACCCTACCCGAAATGAGTGACAAACGGCTACTCACCAGTGACTCACGGCCTACCCGTACCCGTACCCGGCCGCACCAGGGTCGCAAACGGCTACCCGTACCCGGCCGGGTACGGGTAGCCGGGTATCGGGTAGGGTACGGGTATCGGGTACCCGGTTGCGACCTCTGCCCCAGCTACACATCTGTGACGAAAATAAAGCGCTTCATAGCTCATCAGATTTTTCCACAATGAACAAAGATTCTGTTCTGAACCACACATAACACGACCGGCCTCTTTCTCCCTCCAGCTTCGCGTTAAAATGTGGCGTGGTGGAATACGCCCCGCACGCAGAAATCAAACCCGACGAGAAGTGCGCCTGCGGATTCCAAAAGTACTGGATCGGCATCCAGGGCTGCCTAGGAGTGCTGCGCTACGCCATCCGGGACACCGGAACGTGCCTGGACATCTTCTTCAGTTGCCCGTACGCAGGCTTCCTTTACGACAGAACGGTCGGCATTCAGCTGGAGAACGTGGGCAACGTCTACGTCGGAGCGTCGCGTCGGCTCCTGGAGGAGATCGACAACCGCCAAAGTTCGATTACAAATTTCGACAAAAAGAAGGCAACGGATGTCGTTGCCAAAGTGAGCAACGGCGCGATGAATCTCGAGGTGACGGCCACCATGCTCGATGAGTGGAAGTCTATAATCTACGTGCAGCTCATTGACGTTGAACGGTGATGTTCAGTTGTGCTGACGCATCGACGAGTGTGGCGAGATGTTAACTGCCTCGCCTGGTATACAGGAGGTCGTGGGTTCAATCCTGACCCTGACGCCTGCTGTGTATTTGGAGTTTGCGTCTCTCTCTCTCTCCTCGTCGTCACGTGGATTTTTCTCCGGGTCCTCCGCTTTTTAAATCCTTTATATTAAGTTCGCTTGCGTGCTTGCTTCCTTGCTTGCGTGCTTGCTTGCTTAGGACCGTGCAAATCTTTCGGTCGTTTTTTAACCCACTTCCCGTGATCCAATCGAGCTGACGTTTTCCACACAGACTCGTTGTGCCAGACAATTAATGTTCGTAAAAAAAAATTCCCAAAATTTTACACTTTTTAGGCAAAAAAAAATATTTTACATATATTCAAATAGAACGCATTCATGGCTTTGGCTGAACATCACAGTATAAGAGCCCAGAGTGTAACCCCTCCACAGGCCGTGGCGGAGTAGCGCAGTTAGTAGCGCCCTCGCTTCCCATGCCTAAGGTTGCGGGATCGATCCCCGCGTCCTCCACAGGCGAATATATTTTTAATCCTTTATATTAAGTTCGCCGCCACGCATATAAAGGATGTATAGTGAAAAACTTTGTTTTTACGGGTTTACTTGTTCTCCTCCACATTTATAATCAAGATCACACATTTAGAGTAATTTGGCTGCTATTCATTTACACGTCATAAGCCACTTCGGTGGGCTATCATTTGTGATAGCCACTTCGCTTCTTAAAAATAGTTACATAGCAGCTCAGTGGGGCCTTACATGGTGTAAAAAACAGTTTATAGCTTTATAGAGTGGGAAACCAGTGGGCATTGCATGGAGATGCGGAGAGAGGGCGGACAACTAAAGCCTGTTGTATATACAGTAAAACCTTGCATTGCGAGCATAATTTGTTCCGGAAACGCGCTCGTAATCCAAAGCACTCGTACATCAAAGCGAATTTCCCCATAAGAAATAATGGAAACTCAGATGATTTGTTCCACGACCCAAAAATACTGTTTTCATGTAAAAATTCTTAATACAAAATACCTTTTTAAATCCTTTATATTAAGTTCGCTTGCTTGCTTGCTTGCGTGCGTGCTTGCTTGCTTACGACCGTGCAAATCTTTCAGTCGTTTTGTAACCCACTTCCCGTGATCCAATCGAGCTGACATTTTCCACACAGACTCGTTGTGCGAGACAATTAATGTTCGTGAAAAAAAATTCTCAAAATTTTACACTTTTTAGGCAAATTTTTTGTATTTTACATATATTCAAATAGAATGCATTCATGGCTTTGGCTGAACATCACAGTGCAAGAGCCCAGAGCGTAACCCCTCCACAGGCCGTGGTGGAGTAGCGCAGTTGGTAGCGCCCTCGCTTCCCATGCCAAAGGTCGCGGGATCGATCCCCGCGTCCTCCACAGGCGAATATATTTTTAAATCCTTTATATTCAGTTCGCGTGCTTGCTTACGACCGTGCAAATCTTTCGGTCGTTTTTTAACCCACTTCCCGTGATCCAATCGAGCTGACATTTTCCACACAGACTCGTTGTGCGAGACAATTAATGTTCGTGAATTTTTTTTTCCAAAATGTTACACTGTTTAGGGAAAACAAATTAAATATTTAATTACCAATTGCTTAATACTGGCAGACAATCATCTGACCCATAGGTGGCAGCCATCTCAAGCCAGAGGACGAGAGGACTCTAGCCACCACGCATATAAAGGATTTAGAGTGAAAAACTTTGTTTCTACGGGTTATACTTGTTATTATTTAAATTTAATATCAAGTAATCAAATGTATTCATTACAGAGGAGAGGAGGAGGAGGGTTTTTGTGTAGGACGACTTGCACTTGCAGTACAGTTAATAAAGAACAGTCACTACATTTGGACACAAAATTAAAAAATGCTTTACGCACACACACGTAACTGTAACATGTTGCCATTGTGAAATATACCGCTTTGAAATTGTGTTCATTTCTTTTAAACACCCTGCATATTCATATTGCAGCAGGTGAGACGTTCCTCAGGCTGCGTCTCTCCGTTTGCCTGCGCGAAGAGTGAGCCACCAGTTTCACCAAATTCTTGTCTCGACACTTCGTCTACAATAAAGTCAGGGTCGAACACGCAGGAGCCGGCTGTCGCGATCAATGTTAGCCATAGCAGAGGTTTTAGTTGTGATCTAACCCCAAAAAAGCCCGATTATGGATGTGACAGAGGCCTGAGTTCAGATGTGGATTGAGCATGGTTGATGATGATGTGGCTGATGATGATAGTGGTGGTGATAACGATGATGATGGTGGTGGTGATGACGATGGTGGTGATGATGGTGATGATGATGATGGTGATGATGATGGTGGTGATGGTGGTGATGATGATGATGGTGGTGGTAATGGTGGTAATGATGGTGATGATGATGAGTGGGTCAACAGCGAAGCCGATCAACAGCAACAGCGACAGTGGTATAGTGGTGAGCATAGCTGCCTTCCAAGCAGTTGACCCGGGTTCGATTCCCGGCTGTCGCAGTGGTCATTTATTATTTTGATTTGTCCGAGTTGAACTCGGAGGAGGAGAGAGGTCACAGTGGGAGTGCCTCGTGCAAGGCGGCACAGCAAGTAGGACTCCCCATCCTGCATCGTCATCAATCCACTGCTGGATGAAGGCCTGGTGAGGTCACTTCACGAGTTTTTGTCGATTGAGCTCGTGGATCAATGGAGCAGTAGCATCACCACAATAATTTGTCTAATTTTAATGAATCATCGCTTTGTGTTGCACGCGGTCGGTGTTTGTTCACTCGTTGTGGATGAGGCGCCTCTATTTAAATACAAAAATATATTAAACTTTAGCTTGCAACAGCAGCTCTTGTGACTCCCACTGTGACCTCTCCCTCTCAGTTCAACTCGGACAAATCAAAATAATCAATGACCACTGCGACAGCCGGGAATCGAACCCGGGTCAACTGCTTGGAAGGCAGCTATGCTCACCACTATACCACTGTCGCTGTTGTTGAGCAGCTTGCTGTTGAGCAGCTCATCATCACCTTCGACATCATCACCACCATTATCATCACCACCATCATCACCATCATTATCATCACCATCATCACCACCACCACCATCACCACCACCATCATCACCACCATCATCACCATCATTATCACCATCATTATCATCATCATCACCACCACCACCATCACCACCACCATCACCACCATCACCATCATCACCACCATCAGCACCATCATTATCACCATCATTATCATCATCATCATCACCACCATCACCACCACCATCACCACCACCATCACCACCATCACCACCATCACCACCATCATCACAATCATCAGCCAGGCCCAATCCACTGCTGGATGAAGGCCTCCTCTTCCCAAAATCCGTTGCCACCATCTCGCTCCTGCGATGGAACAAAAATTCACCACTCTTTGATGACCTCTTAAATCCCACATCGCATCGGACCCCCGGCAGAGGAAGATTGGCAGCAGACCGCCGTCACCCCCCCACCCCCAACAGCCGCAGTCACCACTCAGCCACACGGGGGCGCGCGCGAGACCCACGCGCGTGACGCGGGTGTTGTGACGCGCTAAGCCGCCTCCTGGCCACGCCCACAACCGCACAAGCCACACTCGGCCGCACGGGATAACCACAGCGCGCTAAACCGCCGTGCCACAGACTTCCCACCTCTCGTGCCGGATTGTCCTTGACGGCAAAAGTTGCTGTGAACGCAGCGGGGCCAACGCACTTTCAAGGGCCCAGCGCTAAACGCTTTCGAGCTTTCAATTCCGGTACGGCTATTCTGCACTTGCTCTATTACTATAGTACTATACCGCCTTCAACTTTTATGAACGACTGTGTGTTTTAGGTTAGCGATTTGTCGTATTATCTGGCTGTATAGTAAATTTAAAAAATACAATTACTTTACTGTGCAAGTAAAAAAATTTGTGTTTAATATTTAAGTTTTTATTTTATTTAGGGCCCCTTTAAAACAACATTTGCTACAGGCCCCGCACTTAGCTTCATCCGGCACTGCACCCCTCGCACTCCTGACACAATCCACTACTGGATTGAAGGCCTCCTCTTTTCCAAACCCATTGCCTCCCTCTCGTTCCTGCGATGAATAAAAACAAATGACCACTCGGAGATGACCTCCTAAATCCATCTCAGCTGTAAAATAAAACAATAAATCAATATTTCGATTTAAAGCTTTCGTGACTGCAGGGATTCATCTTCTTGGTTCTTTCGGTAAAGTCACGTAGAAGGGAAGTAATAAAATAATAAAAATAAAACATAATAAATAAAACATAATAAAATATGTTTTATTTTTATTATTTTATTACTTCCCTTTTACGTGACTTTACCGAAAGAACCAAGAAGAAAAAAAAATAAATCAATAAACACGTTCCTTCGGAGTGGGCAGGTAGGAACTTGGTTGGACAGCGCATTCGTGCACGACAGAGAGACAAATAATCCCTGGTGGGCAGTGTGGAACCTGTTGTTCCTACCTGTAAAATTGTCGCTTTGTGTTGCACGCGGTCGGTGTTTGTTCACTCGTTATGGATGAGGCGCCTCTATTTAAATACAAAAATATATAAAACTTCAGCCTGCGACAGCCGGGAATCGAACCCGGGTCAACTGCTTGGAAGGCAGCTATGTTCTCCACTATACCGCTGTTGCTGTTGACCAGTTCATCATCATCAACATCATCATCACCATCTCGATCATCACCACCATTATCACCATCACGATCACCATCTCGATCATCACCATCATCATCACCATCACGATCATCACCACCGTCACCCAAACCACCATCATCACCACCATCACGATCATCATCACGATCATCACCACCACCACCGTCATCACCATCATCATTATCATCATCACCACCACCATCATCATCATCACCACCACCACCACCATCATCACCACCACCACCATCATCATCATCACCACCATCATAATCATCATCACCACAACCATCACCACCACCACCACCACCATCATAACCACCACCATTAATATCATCACCACCATCATCACCACCACCATCATCATCACCACAACCATCATCACCACAACCACCCCACCACCATCCTTAATATCATCACCACCATTATCACCACCACCATAACCAGATACAGGGTACACACTTTATTATTGATTGATTCATTTATTTTCCAGCTGAGATGGATTCAGGACGTCATCTCCGAGTGGTCATTTAGTTTTTATTCATCGCAGGATCGAGAGGGGGGAAACGGGTTTGGGAAAGAGGAGCCCTTCAATCCAGCAGTGGATTGAGCCTGGCTGGTAATGGTGGTGATGATGTTGATGATGATGTTGAAGGTGATGATAATGAGTGGGTCAACAGCAAGCTGCTCAACAGCAACAGCGACAGTGGTATAGTGGTGAGCATAGCTGCCTTCCAAGCAGTTGACCCGGGTTCGATTCCCGGCTGTCGCAAGCTAAACTTATATATATTTTTGTATTTAAATAGAGGCGCCTCATCCATAACGAGTGAACAAACACCGACCGCGTGCAACACAAAGCGACGATTCCTTGCAGTTACGAAAGCTTCAAATCTAAAACTGAACCATCTCCGTTCTACCAGGCAAAGCCCACCAAGATGTTAACTTATGTTTCAGAAACGACCCGTACATCACAAATGATAGGCCAACAAAAAGCGGCCCATCATGCGGAAACCCCTTTAGTTATCTTTTTTTAATGTTTGTGGCCGAGATGTTATCACGATGTTAGCTCCTGTTGAGAACGGTCTGACAGGTGTAGCTCTTAAACCATTTCGTTGTACCGTCCGCAAATGTTCGTTGACCAAGTCTTGCGAGTAGAATATCGTGGTCAAGTGTGTCCAAAGGCTTTTGACAAGTCGCGGAATAGTGCACAGCTGTGGCGGGCTTCATCCAGATTACTGAAGAGGAAATGTAAATACAAAGTGTAATATTACAATGTATAGTAACGCAGTGTATAATTTAATGTTGGGTTTGTCTATGGCAGTATATAGTACGGGGTATATCCGTGTGATGTAAGAAAAAAGTTTAGCTGGAGGCATATTATATATTATATTTTTTGCGACATAGAAGTGTAATGTATGACCCACTGTTAGTAGCTCAGCTTATTGGAGAGTATATTGATGATATTGATGTAGTTTATATTTTAGTTTTTTACGTGGTGGTTTGGCTGCTGCAGCTCCTTACTATTAAAAATTTCCTCCCTTTATTACTGCTAATCCTACTTCCTCCCTTTATGACTGCTAATCCTACATAATACACGAGCATAATATGACTTTGAGACCCCCCCCCCCACCACCTACACATTCCACAAGTAGTGACTAATCCCATATCTGCATTTGCCATAAATATGCTAAATTCCTCTGTTGATATGTAAATTCATTTGTCAAGGCGCTCTTCTCCTCTAACCCAGCTTAAATATACGCTACCAAGCCTGGTGGTGTTAATTCGGACGCTGTCTTTCCGACAGACCTGTTCTTCACCTGAGGACGGCTGCTTGCGTTGTGGCCGAAACGTCGTGAGAATGATATTTTGTTTTATTTTTTTATTTTATTATTTCCCTTCTACGTGACTTTACCGAAAGAACCAAGAAGATGCGTCCACCATGGCTGTAATAATAAAGTGATCTCCTAGCAAAAAAATCTGCTTAGGATGGAGATTGAGTTTCTTTAGGGAGAAGTTTATTTGTACTTTTAAGTATTAAAACAAAAATTGCTAACTGGTGAAAGAATATAGATTGGTTTATAATCATTAGGGCCTTCCTTGGAACCATTTTTAAATCCTTTATATTAAGTTCGCTTGCTTGCTTGCGTGCTTGCTTACGACCGTGCAAATCTTTCGGTCGTTTTTTACCCCACTTCCCATGATCCAATCGAGCTGACATTTTGCACACATACTCGTTGTGCGAGACAATTAATGTTCGTGAAAATTTTTTTCCTAAATTTTACACTGTTTAGGGAAAACAAATTAAACATTTAATTACCAATTGCTTAATACTGGCAGACAATCATCTGACCCATAGGTGGCAGCCATCTCAAGCCAGAGGACGAGAGGACTCTAGCCGCCACGCATAAAGGATTTAGAGTGAAAAACTTTGTTTTTACGGGTTATACTTATTACACGCTGGACTCCAGCGGAAATGTACCTTCGATAAGTGGGGAGGTTGAGAAAATGTATCGCGAGGTTTACAAATGAGCTCCGCTACAGCCACGAGTGCAAAAATGCGAGCAGTCTTCTCGCGTGCACGACAATGTCTTGCCCGACGCGAGTTTACCCACTGCATCCAGTTCAGCTATGGGACTAAACGAGAAGTAGGGACGATGCCTTTCGCAAACATTTTCAGTCTTGGTGTGAAGAGGTAGAAGAGGGGCGATAACTCTTTGGTTCTTCTTGGTTCTTTCGGTAAAGTCACGTAGAAGGGAAGTAATAAAATAATAAAACACAATTTATTATTTTCTTCTTTTTTATTTTGATTTCCCTTCTACGTGATAAATATGTTTATTATATTATTTCCCTTGTACGTGACTTATAATTTAATTTTTATTTAATTATTTCCCTTCTACGTGACTTTACCAAAAGAACCAAGAAGATGAATCCCTGCAGTCACGAAAGCTTTAAATCGAAACTTTTTGGTTCTTTCGGTAAAGTCACGTAGGGAGAAATAAAATAAAACAAATCCCGACGTTTCGATCGCAACACAAGCATCAGGTGGCACAACCGCAGCAAAAAACGTCGCGATTCGTTTTATTTTATTTTTCTACCTCCGTGACTTTACCGAAATAACCAAAGAGCATGGATTGCTGCAGTCACGAAAGCTTCAAATCAAGGGGGGTGATGTGAACGGCGTCTGGTGCAATTCGGAGAAATTTTACTCTGGTGAGTTTTGTCAAAGATGCATCCCTGCTGATCCTAAATGAGAATTAAATCCATTGCCGCGGTCTTGTGAACACTTCTTTGCCATCCAATAGTTTTTTTTTAAGCGTATTTAGCATTTTTTTCTTTGCAACCGAGCTGAACGTTTGACAACAAAGTCCTGGGGCTTTTGTTGTTGTTGTTGTTGTGCATTTAGCATAGTGCGATGGCCCTCTAAAATGTAGTGTTTCTTATTTGGCATGTCTATCTATTTCTGAGTGTGCTATAGTTAATCCAATCGGAGGTTATTTAATGTTTTTGCTTTATTCCAGGCTACATCTCGAGTACCAGGCTACAGCAGAGTGGGTGGCAGTGGCAGGATGTTGGGGATAGCAGAAGAATTCACACCACGTGGAGAGATTTGTTTAAAACGAGAATTTAATACCAACAAGACTGCAGGAACACACCTGGCGCGAAGAATAAACCAACATCATCATCTCCCCCCCCCCCCCCACCGTTGCGATTGTTCAAGATCAGAATGTTTATTTGTACCGGTGGGAAATCCGATGAGCTGCAGAGTGATTTCTTTCCCCCTCGCAGATGTCCAGTGTGGTCTCTGGTGGCCGCAGAGTTAAACGAGTAACAACAAAACAACAGGTCAGTAAAAAAACTAAACACGCATTCACCCGCGAATAGTTGCTTCCTGCGATACACCGCGACCTCCCTTACGCCAAATGTCGTTCTGGACGACGCTGGGTACATCCGTTACAGCAACGTGCAAATAACAGCAAACACTAAAATATAAAATTCAACCACGTTCGCCAATAGCTCGTGGGCCATCCACAAACCGTATCTTAAAAGCAATACATTAGTTAGTCTCACCCTCCCCATTGCAAGTCAACGGGGGAGTAACATTTGTCGTACACATTTATTTTTACATCTTTATACTCCTGTAAACTCATCATCGTGACCTCGGTGATCACGGATGAAAACTCGCATCCCCCCCCCCCCGACCTTCTACCATCCCCTCCCCCCCCCCCGAACAGCTGTTCATCAACCCACGGCAGGCAGTGCTGCTGCTGCGAGGGGCACGTGGACTGCTGGGGCTGCGTGCCGCCCAGCTGCGAGTTGGTGGGGGGGGTTGACGGATTTCCGTTGCGCGACGGCAAACGCAGGGAACGCGCTTAAACGCCCCCCTTGGCTCACGGACTACGACACCTTCACACCCACCCCCTAATCGCTCCTCCCCCACCTTACCCATCCTTCCCCCCCCCCTACATTACCCATCTGCCTCCACCTTACCCTATCCCCCCCCCCACCTTACCCATCCTCCCCCCACCATACCTTATCCGCCCCCCACCTTACCCATCCTCCCCCCACCTTACCTTTTCCGCCCCCCACCTTACCCATCCTCCCCCCACCTTACCTTATCCGTCCCCCACCTTACCCATCCTCCCCCCCACCTTACCCATCGCCCCCCCACCTTAGCCATCCCCCCCACCTTAGCCATCCCCCCCACCTTAGCCATCCCCCCCACCTTACCCATCCCCCCCACCTTACCCATCCCCCCCCACCTTACCCATCCCCCCCCCCCCCCACCTTACCCATCCCCCCCCACCTTACCCATCCCCCCCCCTACATTACCCATCCCCCCCCCCTACATTACCCATCTGCCCTCACCTTACCCATCCCCACCTTCCCCATCACCCCCCCACCTTACCCATCCCCCTCCTTATCCACCCCCCTATCCCCCCCCTCCCCCCACCAATCTACTCGAGCTCCACCATGGTGAGGGAGCCGTCCCACACGAGCACGGCGAGGGCGGGGAACAGCGGCTGCGTGAACTTGGCGTGGAACGTGTGCAGCAGCGTCATGTCGTCCGCTAGGTAGAAGGACAGCAGCCCCGCGTCGCAGTCCAGGAAGACGCCCACCTTGCGAACCGGTGCCACGGCCGCCACCGCCGGTGCTGGTGCCAGTGCTGGTGCCAAGGCCGGTGCCAAGGCCGGTGCCAAGGCCGGTGCCAAGGCCGGTGCCAAGGCCGGTGCCAAGGGTGGTGCCAAGGGTGGTGCAAAGGCTGGTGCCATGGCTGGTGCAAAGGCTGGTGCAAAGGCTGGTGCCAAGGCTGGTGCCAAGGCTGGTGCCAAGGCTGGTGCCAAGGCTGGAGCCAAGGCTGGAGCCATGGCTGGTGCCACGGCCGGTGCTAGTGCCAACGATGGTGCCAGTGCCAACGACGGTGCCAATGCCGGTGCCAACGCCGGTGCCGCCGGCATTTCACTGGCGTCGCCCTGCTGCTGCTGCAGCTGCTGCAGCTGCAGCGGGTTCGGGCGCAGCAGCAGCGTGCCCACGCCGCCGTGGCGAGCAGTCAGCTCGCTGTTGTCCATGAAGAGGCACCACGACTCGCCGTTCTCGCCCAGCTTGCAGACGCCGCCCTGGCCCTTGCGCGGGACGGAGCCGTACGCGACGCCGACGCGCCACGAGCCCGCGCCGCCCACGTCCACCTCCCAGTAGTGGCGGCCAGACGCCAGCGGCCGGGCGCCCAGCACCTGCGGGTGCCAGCAGTCGAAACGCTCGGGGTGGTCGGGCGGCGGCTGGCGCGGCGGGGAGCCCATGACGGTCTTGAGGTCGCGGGAGACGCGCAGCCACGGCGACGCGGTGGTCGGGTTCAGCGTCGGGGAGCAGCCATCTGGGTGGGGGGGGGTGCAACCTCCGGTTAGCACGGTTGGCTGCGTACGGTGTGAAAGAGGTTCAATGTACGTGCTATACACTTACACACTCTGCCGTAGGCCGAGTGGGTGGGCGGCAGAGTGGCCGTGTGGGCGGGTGGCCGAGTGGGTGGTGGTCGTGTGGGAGGCCGAGTGGGTGGGTGGCTGGGTGGATATGTGGGTGGGTGGGTGGCTGGGTGGATATGTGGGTGACTGGATAGTTGTGTGGGTGGCTGGGTGGCTGGATGTGGGTGGCTGGCTGGGTGGTTATGTGGGTGGCTGGCTGGGTGGTTATGTGGGTGGCTGGCTGGGTAGTTGTGTGGGTGGCTGGGTGGTTATGTGGGTGGCTGGATAGTTGTGTGGGTGGCTGGGTGGTTATATGGATGGGTAGCTGGTTGGGTTCTTCCCAACCCCGGGCTTGGCGCTGCTACACCGGTGTGCTCACATCTCTCGGCGATGAGTGGCAGCGGGCGCGTGCCCATGATCTTCTGCAGAGAGATGATCTTGTCCAGGTCCGTTGTGGTGGACAGCAGCAGGCCCTTGGTGTGCACCTTGGCGGGCACGCTACTGCAAGACAGAGAGAGAGAGCGCGCAGGTACAGCTTAACTCCCAACGGCCGTCCAATAGAAGACAAACGGCGCGCGCGCATTCTGCGTTAGGGACGTCACGAGCTCTGCGCTCTAATGGCGCGCGCTCCGTGCGTAAAGCGCCCCCCCCCCCCCCCCCCCGCCCAGGACCGGCATCGCCCCAGCGACAGCGTGCCAGCCTGGACGTGCGCCGGTGGGCGAGCCAAGCGGGCACCGACTGTAGACCACTCAAGGCTGCGTCTGAGAAGCACAGCAGCAGTGCCTCCATTGGCATCGGCGCTCCGGCTATTATACGTGTCACCACGATTCAATTCGAACAAATTATCCGGTGGCGGCGATTATGCCGCCACCGCCGCTACTGCATTGGCGGCGGTGCGACAGGCAAGAGACGACGACAACTCCAACACGGACCGGGTAAATAACAGCGAACGCCACACGCGGGTGCGCGTGCGTGTGCGTCTGTCACCTTCAAAAATAAATGTATAGAAAATAGGCGAGTTTTCAGAGGGCGGGGGGAGCGGAGGGACACGGTGTTAACGAGACTCACGTAAGCTCGTTGAGAACCGGATCCTGCAAAAGAGAACAAGTGAGAGGTGAGTTTTACTCTCACCTCAGCTCTGGAGAGAAACTCAACAAAAACTGAACAACGATGACGCACGTGCGCCTTTTGGCGTCATCTGGTTCAACCAACACCATGTGAGACTGGGCTCTAAGAAAAGCTGTCTCGGGTGTGGATCAATCAATTTCAAGGATAGTGCATAGAGAGATGATCTTGTCCAGAATGCTAGTTTTTTTTTGCATTCTGACCGCAGGTATTGTGGTTAGGGCAAACTTGACTCCTTGTTAAAAAAGGTGTCGGTTTTGTTGCCAGATAAAAGGGTAAAAAACCAATTATCATATTTTAAATCTGTTCGTGAATACTCTTTGATTCTTTCGGTAAAGTCACGTAGTAAAATAATAACAGATCACGACGTTTCGATCGCCACACAAGCCGGTCGTCCTCAAGAACCAAAGAGTATCGATTCCTGCGGGTCACGAAAGCGTCACATCTACAGTGAACATTGAACTGAAGCTTGACTTCAAAAAATCAAATCGCATCCGTCAGAAAAATCGCAAGTAGACATTTCCCCCAAATCGTTCAGCCCCCGTGTGTCTAGTCGTGCATCGTGTTAGTTAACATGCACCTGCAGAAAGGCGATGGGGTCATGCGTCTCGAGCAGCGCCTCCAGGCGCGAGATGATGCAGCCGAGGGCTTCGATCTCCTTGCGGTGGCGCTCGATCGCGAGCTGCGTGGAGTAGAGCACGGGGCCGCACTGCGCGTCCAGACCGCGGACTACCTCGTCCTCCTCCTCTTCGTCGTCGTCGTCCGCCGCCGGCTTGCTGACGGCGTAGAAGGCGCTCACCCGCGTCTTGATCGCGTCCGTGTATCTCTGCCCTCGCGGAGTTTCGAACAAAAGACAGCGATGTGAAGGAGCTCCCTCCTACCCCCCTGGGCAGACGTCAATTTGGTTTCTTAAAGAAAGATGCGCGTGCGTTTTTAAATCCTTTATATTAAGTTCGCTCGCTCGCTTGATTGCTTGCGCGCTTACGACCGTGCAAATCTTTCGGTCGTTTTTTAACCCACTTCCCGTGAGCCAATCAAGCTGACATTTTCCACACAGACTCGTTGTGCGTGACAATTAATTTTCGCGAAAAAAATGTTGCAAAATTTTACACTTTTTTTTATATTTAATTACCAATTGCTTAATGCTGCCAGGCAATCATCTGACCCATAGGTGGCAGCCATCTCAAGCCAGAGGACGAGAGGACTCTAGCCGCCACGCATATAAAGGATTTATAGTGAAAAACTTTGTTTTTACGGGTTAATTTTTTTTTATTTTTACAACTTGTGGGGCAGTCGTGAACGCACCGATGTCGCCCACCGTTGCTAGCCGTCCCTGCTGCAATCGCTCCCCCCTTGTATACCCCGCAGGCCTCGCCCCTATCAGAAAGTGCCCACCCCCCCCCCACTCTGGCACGTGCTTTCAATTATCTCAACGTCGACATTGAGCTGTCTCCACCCCCCCCCCCCCCAACAACTTTCTGGTGCCCGTCAGCCGATCATCTCAACACGCAGTGTGCAAATTAATTAATGAATTATCTATACAGTACCTTAAGGGGCACCTGTTCTTGATTATCTCAACTCGTGTGTTCCAACCCCTATTACTACTCCTATTACTACACTATCCACTATCACTACCCCTAACCGCGATCACTACCCCAACCCCTATTACTACCCTATCCACTATCACTACCCCTATCACTACCCCTATCCAATTACAATAAACTTATCACTACCCCTATCACTACCCTAACCACTATCACTACCCCTATCCAATTACAATAAACTTATCACTACCCCTATCACTACCCTAACCACTATCACTACCCCTATCCAATTACAATACACTTATCACTACCCCTATCACTACCCTAACCACTATCACTACCATTACCCCAACCCCGTTTACCACCACCGGTATCAGTGGGGGCAATGGCGGGGGCATCAGTGGGGGTATCGGTCACCTCCACTCGGTCGTGGAATGCCGTCAGCTCGTGCACTTTGGACTCTGAGTTCTTCTTGCGGTCGATCCTCCCCTCCCTCTCCATGGTCACCAGCAGCTGCCAAAGAGGTTGGGGGAAGCAACGTCGGAAAGACGTCGGGGAATCGACTGGTAAGCGGTTGCAAACCCATAGAGACCCACAGAGGCACACAGAGACCCACAGAGACCCAGAGAGACCCACGGAGACCCACGGAGACCCACGGAGGCACACGGAGGCACACGGAGGCACACGGAGGCACACAGAGGCACGCAGAGGCACGCAGAGGCACACAGAGGCACACAGAGACCCACGGAAACACAGAGACCCACGGATATGCACAGAGACCCACGGACAATACACAGAGACTTACAAAGACCCAGAGAGGCACACAGAGACCCACGGAAATACAGAGGCCCACAGAGGCCCACACACAGAGGCCCACACACAGAGGCCCACACACAGAGGCCCACACACAGAGGCCCACACACAGAGGCCCACACACAGAGGCCCACACACAGAGGCCCACACACAGAGGCCCACACACAGAGACACACACACAGAGACACACACACAGAGACACACACACAGAGACACACACACAGAGACACACACACAGAGACACACACAGAGAGACCCACACAGAGAGACCCACACAGAGAGACCCACACAGAGAGACCCACACAGAGAGACCCACACAGAGACACACAGACACACACAGAGAGACCCACAGAGAGACCCACACAGAGACACACACAGAGACCCACCTTCCTCTCCTCATACTCGTCCTTGGCCGCCACCAGCTGGTGGTTCTTGTGAGTGCCGAACAGCGAGCAGTCGGAGCACACCAGCAGCCCCTCCCGGGTGCAGTAGTAGCGGAGCGTCGCGCCATGCTCTGTGCACCTGGGGGGGGGGGGGAGGGAGGGGCGGGGTCACAATTTGAAAGGAAACGGCACCACCTCCAGGTAGGGTGTTGATTGTACTGGTAGGAACGAAGTGAACCAGCCTACAATAGATTATATCGTCCGTCCGTCCGTTCGATGTCCGATTAGGTGTAGCAACATCGCCCCCTACTGCAAACACTTGGCAGGACCCTACAAAAACCTGTGAGGCTTTCCTGGCTAAACAAGTGTAACATTCCCTTATAATTCCCTGAGATAGTTTTTAATTAAAACATTTAAGTTAAAAATTAACTCACAGCGGCCTAAAGCCTACAGCTAGGCCTAAAGCCTAGAACTAGGCCTCAAACTCTCCCTTCGTATCGTACCCCCGCCATTTCATTTTATTATAGCCATTCATTTGTTCGTTCCTACCAGCCCACCCCGCAGGGACCTGTTTATGTTAGCCAACTCTCTGTGTTGCATTACATTATATTTCTAAGTTTACCAGGTTTTGTTTTCTCATTCATTCGTACCCGATGATGATTGCTTGTGTTGCAATCGAAACGTCGTATGCTATTATTTCATTTATTATTCTTTCTACGCGACTTTACCGAAAGGACCAAAGAGTTGTATAGTGTCGTGTATCGTGAAGGGTACAGTAGTGTATAGCGTAGTGGATAGCAGTGTAGTGTATAGCGTAGTGGATAGCGTATAGTGTATAGCGTAGTGGGTAGCGTATAGTGTATAGCGTAGTGGGTAGCGTATAGTGTATAGCAGTGCAGTGTATAGTGTATAGCAGTGCAGTGTATAGTGTATAGCAGTGCAGTGTATAGCAGTGCAGTGTATAGTGTATAGCGTAGTGGGTAGCGTATAGTGTATAGTGTAGTGGGTAGTGTATAGTGTATAGCAGTGCAGTGTAGTGTATAGCGTAGTGGGTAGCGTATAGTGTATAGCGTAGTGGGTAGCGTATAGTGTATAGCAGTGCAGTGTATAGTGTATAGCAGTGCAGTGTATAGTGTATAGCAGTGCAGTGTATAGTGTATAGCATAGTGTATAGTGTAGTGTATAGCGTAGTGTATAGCATAGTGTATAGCATAGTGTATAGCATAGTGTATAGCATAGTGTGTAGCGTAGTGTGTAGCGTAGTGTGTAGCGTAGTGTATAGCGTAGTGTATAGCGTAGTGTATAGCATAGTGTATAGCATAGTGTATAGCGTAGTGTATAGCGTAGTGTAAATAGCATCTGAGAGCGGCGCGCGATGCGGTGGCCGTTGTTGTCCGATGGCCGAGCCAAGCGGTGGTTTACCGGCGAGCGGCCACGTTGATGCCGAGCGGAGCCAGCACATGGCCGCTGAAGGCCGGGTCGTGCCGGTGGAGTTTCACGTGGGCCTCGCAGAGAGCCGACTCGCACCTGCCGCACAAAAGCAGGCGGCGTCGTTATGAGGGTCGGCATCGAAACCCCGCGTACGACCTCATGTATAGCGGGCGAGGTAGTTAACATCTCCTCGCCACCACCCCCCCCCACCGCCCCTTGCATGTGGAGTGTACATCCGGTGAACTTCTTTCGCGCCATACGTTTTAAAACGGAGGTGCGGCGGGGGAAGAGGACAACAAACTAAACACAAGAACAAGCAGTTATAAATAAATTAATTTTCAATATAGCATAGTGGTGTAGTGTATAGTAGTGTAGTATGTAGTGTATAGAGTAGTGTACAAGCATCATCTGGTACTACCACCGTCACCACGACCTGGTCCCACTAATGCCATCACCACCACCAAGACTTGGTACCACAACCATCACCATAATCATCACCATGACCTGGTACCACCACCACAACCACCACCACCCATTACCAACAACAACAACCGCCATTCGCCACTAGGTGGCGGTGACGTCACGACGACGCTTGTGCCAGGCCATGTGCACCTTGAGGCCACGTGAAGTGTCGAACGCCCGCTGGCAGGTCACGGGGCAGACCCAGGTGCCACTGGTCGACTGGCTGATGCACCACCTGTGCCCCCTACTGTGCCAACTTGCTATGCTTTAGCCAGCCGGCGCTCCGCTTGTTGCTGGAGGGCGACTGCCTCCAACTGCCCAGTAGCGTCCTTCATGAGCCTCCTCCACAGAGGCCGATCCTGACACCGCTGGTACCAGTCATTGGCAAGTCCACTCAGCTCCACGTCCTCCTGTACCACATCACTCCATTTCTTCTCTAGTCCGTGCCGCGCCCGTTTAGCCCCCTCGATTCGGCCGAACAAAAGCTGTTTTCAGCATGCAGTGGCTGGGCATGCGGGTTACATGACCCAGCCAACGCAGCCTTGCCTGCTGGAGGAGCTCACCGATGGGACTTTGCCCAGATCTTTCAAGGATTTGTGAGCTCCTCACACAATCCAGCCTGCAGGTTAAACCCAGGATGGATCGTAGGCAGGCCAGCCTAAATGTTTCCAACCGGCGAAGATGCTCCATTACCACCACCACAACCACCACCACAACCACGATACCTGAGGCACGTCTTGACGGCCAGCACGTCTTCGCCGAGGCAGCTCTTGCACGACACGGCCGCCGCCGCCGCCTCGTCGTCGTCGTCGTCCTCACCGTGGGCCACCTTTCGCCGCCTCTTCTTCACCTCCTCCACCATGTTGGCGAGCACGACAGTCTTGGCCAGCCGCCGCTTGCGCGGGTACTCCTTGCGGCACACGGGGCACGTGCAGCAAGGGTGGGCCGGAGCGCGGCGCTGGGCAGCCCAAGATGCGGCGATGCAGGTCCGGCAAAATGTGTGGCCGCACGGCAGCGTGATGGGCCAGTCGAAGAGCTCCAGGCAGATGACGCAGCGGAGGTCGCGGTAGTGGACAAGCGCCGCCTCTTCCTCCATCGCGTTGTTTCGGTCGCGTTCGGCGTTGGAGGAGTCTGCGGTGATGGTGGTGGTGGTGGTGGGGCAAGGTTGTGTGGTGTTGTTGTGCCAACGACCATCACCACCCTGCTAAAATCACCACCACCACTCAATTATCACCACCACCCACTCATCACCACCACCAACACCACTACCCACTTATCACCACCACCAGTGCCGGATTATCCTCGTGGCAAAAGTAGCATATGCTCAGGGCACCGCACTTTCCAGCTATCAATTTCGGTTCAGTGATTCTGCACTTGCTCTGTTACTATAGTACTATACCGCCTTCAACTTTCACGAACGACTTGGGTGTTCAAGGTTAGCGATTTGTCGTACTATCTGGCTGTATAGCAAATTAATAAATACAGTTACTTTACTATGCAAGTTAAAAATGTGTTTAAATATTGATGCGGTTTTTAAAAAAAATCAGGGCCCTTTTATAACACATTCTACAGGCCCCGCGCCTAGCTTCATCCGGCATTGACCACCACCACCACCCCACTTATAATTACCACGACCACCCACTTATAATCACCACTACCACCACACGCTTATCAAAGATATCCCCGTGTATGTAGCCTTCAGCAGGCTCTGGGGGCAAGTGGCTGTTAGCAGCGATTAGCAGCAGCAGCAGCTATGAAGGCTACCGGCACTGTGGCACATACGAAGGGGGGGGGATTGGTGGCCAGAACCACGTACATCCGGGCCGCCTTTGTCTCCCCTAGTGGCGACGGTTTACCACCGAGTCCACCTAGGGGAGTACCTGGGACTCTCGGTTTAGATGACAGTCGCTGGTGTGAGCATCTGCCGTGTTCGTAGCGCTAACCGCTGCACCACCGCTCATAACCACCACCACCAACCAACCACCCACTAAGAACCACAGTTCACTCTCAGGCGGTGATGGGGTGTGTGGATGTGTGCGAGTGTGTGTCTGTGTGTGTCTGTGTGTGTCTGTGTGTGTCTGTGTGTGTCTGTGTGTGTCTGAGTGTGTCTGAGTGTGTCTGAGTGTGTCTGAGTGTGTCTGAGTGTGTCTGAGTGTGTCTGAGTGTTCACTACCGCACTGCCACCACCACCACCACTACTACCGCCCCACCGCCACCACCACTACTGCCACCTACACCACCACCACCACTACTACTGCCACCTACACCACCACCACCACTACCGCCCCACCACCACTACTAGTCACCACCACCACACCGCACCACCACCACTACTGCCACCTACACCACCACCACTACTAGTCACCACCACCACCTCACCGCACCACCACCACCACTATTGCCACCACCACCACCACTACCGCCCCACCCCCACCACCACTATTGCCACCACCACTACTTCCCCACCACCACCACTACTACTGCCCCACCACCACTACTAGTCACCACCACCACCCCCGCACCATCACCACCACTATTGCCACCACCACACCACACCACCACCACCGCACCACCACCACTATTGTCACCACCACCACCACCACACCGCACCACCACCACCACTATTGTCACCACCACCACCACCACCACTACCGCACCACCACCACTACACCACCACCACCACCACAACGCTCTCTCTCTGCCACCACGACGCGCACCACCACCACCACCACCACAACGCCACCACTATTGCCACCACCACCACTACACCACCACCACTACCGCACCACCACCACCACCACCACCACACCACCACCACCACAACGCTCTCTCTCTCTCTGCCACCACGACGCGCACCACCACCACCGCACCACCACCACCACTATTGCCACCACCACCACTACACCACCACCACTATTGCCACCACCACCACTATTGCCACCACCACCACTACACCACCACCACTATTGCCACCACCACCACTACCGCACCACCACCACCACTACACCACCACCACCACTACCGCACCACCACCACCACTACCGCACCACCACCACCACCACTACCGCACCACCACCACCACTACCGCACCACCACCACCACCACACCACCACCACCACTACCGCACCACCACCACCACCACTACCGCACCACCACCACCACCACTACCGCACCACCACCACCACTACCGCACCACCACCACCACCACTACCGCACCACCACCACCACCACTACCGCACCACCACCACCACTACCGCACCACCACCACCACCACAACGCTCTCTCTCTCTCTGCCACCGCGACGCTACCGCCGCAACTCGATAAGACAAACCACGTACAGTGCGTACAGTGCGGTACAGTGCGGCGGAGACGGCGAGACGACTTCCTGCAGCGCTCGGTGACGTCACCGGCGGGGGAGGGGGGGGAGGGGCTACGAAGACTCCACCCCTCTGATGGGGGCTGCCCCTTTTATAGACCCCGCCCCGTCATTAGACCACGCCCCCTTTATAGACCACGCCCCTTTCATAGACCACGCCCCCTTTTGATAGACCACGCCCCTTTTAGTAGACCACGCCCCCTTTAGTAGACCACGCCCCCTTTTATAGTTTCCGCTTCCTTTTTATAGACCACGCCCCCTTTTGTAGACCACGCCCCTTTTTGTAGACCACGCCCCCTTTTATAGACCACGCCCCTTTTATAGGCCACGCTCCTTCCCTCAGAACACGCCCCCTTTTGCATAGACTCCGCCCCTTTTATAAACCCAACCCCTTTTTAAATCCTTTATATTAAGTTCACTTGCTTGGTTGCTTACGACCGTGCAAATCTTTCGGTCGTTTTTTAACCCACTTCCCGTGATCCAATCAAGCTGACATTTTGCACACAGACTCGTTGTGCGTGACAATTAATTTTCGTGAAATTTTTTTCCAAAATTTTACACTGTTTAGGGAAAATAAATTATATTTAATTACCAATTGCTTAATGGTGGCAGGCAATCATCTGACCCATAGGTGGCAGCCATCTCAAGCCAGAGGACGAGAGGACTCTAGCCGCCACGCATATAAAGGATTTATAGTGAAAAACTTTGTTTTTACGGGTTAATTTTTTAAATCCTTTATATTTTTTACATATATTCAAATAAAACGCATTCATGGCTTTGGCTGAACGTCACAGTGTAAGAGCCCAGAGCGTAACCCCTCCACAGGCGAATATATTTTTAAATCCTTTATATTAAGTTCGCTGCCACACATATAAAGGATTTATAGTGAAAAACTTTGTTTTTACGGGTTATACTTATTATAGACTCATCATTACCAATTCTAGATTTGAAGATTTCGTGACTGCAATGATTCATATTCTTAGGTTTTTCGGTAAAGTCACGTAAGGTAAAAAAAATGTTAAATTAAAATTAATAAAATAAAAATAAAAAAATAAAAAAATAAAAAAAATATAAAAAATAAATAAAAAATAAAAATCACGACGTTTCGATTGCGACACAAGCAATCATCATCAGGTATAAATGAAATAGCAACAAAAATTCTAACCAAAAAAACTACAGACAGACATATAAGCAGACAGATATCACCAAGATACACAGACAGAGAGAGTAACACAGGTACAGAGAGGGAGATCGTCTCTGTGGAGTGGCCTTAAATAGGCAGCACCTCCATAATTCAAGTTCAAGTTCATGTATTAGGTATAGCCCTGTGAGCCATTCGGCTCTTGAATCGGGTGCAACCGCAACAAACAAAAAAACATGAACAAAAAACATCTTAAAGTGACTATGTGACTAAGTGCAAACAGAAAATCTAAGAAAAGACAGCAAAATATTGCAGAAAAAAACCGTACACCAACGCTGTGTGCAAAAATCCCAGTGGGATGCAAGTCAAACAACAACATCATCATCATCACCATCATCATTATCACCACCCTACCATCATCATAATCATTATCACCACCATCATCGCCACCACCACCTCCATCATCATAATCATTATCACCACCCTACCACCATCATCATCATTATCACCACCACCACCACCATCATCATCGCCACCACCACCTCCATCATCATCATCACCATCATCATCACCACCATCATCATTATCACCACCCTACCATCATCATCATCATTATCACCACCATCATCATCGCCACCACCACCTCCATCATCATAATCATTATCACCACCCTACCACCATCATCATCATTATCACCACCACCACCACCATCATCATCGCCACCACCACCTCCATCATCATCATCACCATCATCATCACCACCATCATCATTATCACCACCCTACCATCATCATCATTATCACCACCATCATCATCGCCACCACTACCTCCATCATCATCATCACCATCATCATCACCACCATCATCATTATCACCATCATCATTATCACCACCCTACCATCATCATCATTATCACCACCACCACCATCATCATCACCATCATCATCACCACCATCATCATTATCACCATCATCATTATCACCACCCTACCATCATCATCATTATCACCACCACCTCCATCATCATCATCACCATCATCACCACCACCATCATAATTATCATCACCATCATCATCGCCACCACCACCTCCATGATCACCTACATCATCACCTCCATCATCATCATCATCATCACTGGATTGAGCCTGGGTGGTAATGATGTTGATGATGATGAGTGAGTCAACAGCAAGCTGCTCAACAGCAACAGCGACAATGGTATAGTGGTGAGCATAGCTGCCTTCCAAGCAGTTGACCCGGGTTCAATTCCCGCTTGTCGCAAGTTTTAATATTCTAGATTTGAAGTTTTCGTGACTGCAAGGATTCAAACTCTTTGGTTCTTTCGATAAAGTCACGTGGGTGAAAAATATAAATAATGAAATGAAAATAACTAAATTAAATTAAATCATCGTGATTTGAGTGATTTTCAGAAGAAATGAAAATCACTAAATTAAATCATTGTGATTTAATTTTGTGATTTTCATTTTTTTTCATATACGTGACTTTACCGAAAGAACCAAAGAGTACGTATTTACATATTTATTTTAATTTTTATAGTTGAGATGGATTTAGGAAATCATCTCCTCTGCCCTGCCTCCGCTGCCTCCTCCTCCGCGCTCCTTCCTCCGTGTTTTCCCCCATGCCTCATTTTACAAACCAACGCGTTCAGACTATTTGGGCTGCTGCTGCTCCCAATGTCCACGTGGTCAGGCGGCTTCGGTGAGCGGCTCTCATTTGTGACCGGTCGCTTCTGAGCAGGTAGCTGCTGCTGCTGCTACTCTGCAGCAATTTTACTGGTAGGAACCTCCTGGTTACACCAGCCCACAGGGGATTAGTGTGTCCCTCGTGCAGGGAGGGGCTGGGTGAGGAGGGGAGGGAGGGGCTGGTGGGGAGGGGAGGGTGGGGAGGGTGGGGAGGGTGGGAAGGGGCTGGTTGGGGAGGGGAGGGAGGGGAGGGTGGGGAGGGGCTGGGTGGGGAGGGGAGGGAGGGGAGGGTGGGGAGGGTCTGGGTGGGGAGGGTGGGGCTGGGTGGGGAGGGTGGGGAGGGGCTGGGTGGGGAGGGGCTGGGTGGGGTGGGGCTGGTCACCCCGTGGTGCCCTTATAAAACTCAACGTTTAACCTACTCACGCCGGCTTGTGCCCGCCCTCACAGTCGGGCATATTTGCGGAATACACCACGCCGCCGTTGACCCTGCAGGCCATTGACCGAGCAACCCAACGTTCCTACCAGCTCCCTCCGCAGGACAATGTGTTAAAGCACCCCCTGTGAGACGCTGCATCTCTCTGTATTCTCTGTGCAATGCGCCACCATCCCCCGCGTTCATTCATTCACCTCGGCTCGAATCTCAACACTTGGCAAATAAAATACAAGATTTATAAAATGCGAAGTTGCATGCGACAGCCGGGAATCGAACCCGGGTCAACTGCTTGGAAGGCAGCTATGCTCACCACTATACCACTGTCGCTGTTGCTGTTGTTCAGCTTGCTGTTGACCCACTTATCATCACCATCATCATCACCACCATCAACATCACCACCGTCATCGTCATCATCATCAGCCAGGATTAATTCAACTGCTGTGAGCGTCAGCCGTGACAGTGGTATCGTGGTGAGCATCGCTGCCTTGCAAGCAATTACAAGGTTTTGATTCCCGTCTGTTGCAAGTCTGAAGTGTCTTCGTATTTATTTAGTTTTAACGGAAGAAATGGATTCAGGAGATCAGCCCTGAGTGGTGGCAACGGATTTGGGGAAGAGGAGGCCTTCAATCCAGCAGTGGATTGAGCCCTGGCTGAT